GCTTTTCCAGCTCTGTGTCCCCATTTATTGTTCCTAGCAGGGTTCCCCTCCTGCCGGCAGGCAGCCTGGCTCCTTGCCAGCTTTCTCCCCATGTGGCCCAGAGCAGGTTGGGGAGCTGCTGGGTCAGACAGCTCCAGCTCAGGGCTCCTCCATTCAATTATCTCCTTTGCTGTGATCAGTTCAGACCTGGTTTGGGCAGAGTGAGGGGGTGGTTAATAGCTGAGCAGTGTGTGTGCTGTGTGTGTGTGTGTGTGTGTGTGTGTACATTTAGTGGGGAAGTGTGAAAATCCCCTTCAGACAGATGATCAGAGCCCTGGCTCCCACATGTGTTGACATGCCTCCTCCCTCTACCCATTGATAGGAACCAGGAAATGACAGGATGTTGAACAGCTGAGGGGTGGGGAGAACAATCTAGTGGAAGGGGAACATTGCCTACAGAAACAGTGGAGGTTAATAACATTGGAGAACTGGAAGGCGTGTGTGCTCTCCCAATACACAGCTACTGTGCTGAAATTTGCCAAGATTGCACTGCCCCATAGTCTATTGCCCAAGGACTCACGTCCACCTTAGCATCCATCACTGTGCTCCTAACTGCCAACTCACTGCCCTAGGGGACAGGTGCAGATGGACGTAGATCTCCAGACTGTGGACATCAATCAGTGTGCAAGTGGCCCAGGCTGGTACTCTAACACACACCTATGTGATCTCAACAGCACCCAGGTAAGGATAAGGAGGATGGGGGGCTGCTAGGGTCTTGCCTCCCTCCCCCTTTCCCGTCATTGCCACCACCCAGCTCCAAGGCAGGTCATGAAGCCACTCCAGTGTACAAGGGATTCAGGGGAGTCCCTAGTGACTGGCAGAGGAGAGAGACCAGGCTTTCTAAAAGTGAGGCCACTTACAGCCTACACCACCCCCACCCCTGCCCAAGACAGTTACTCTTCATTCCTTTGAACTTGCAGTGTGCCTCCCTGTCTACTCCCCTTTCTGGTACTCGGTGCTCTGGGATCCCTCCTCAGGGCCACTAGCTGAGCCTCTGTTAATCATCCGCTTTCCCTTCCCTGGACTACATTCTCCATATCAACACAGCTCTGGGCTCCTCTTGGCACACAAAGGATGCTCCATAAGTGTTTGTCGAAATAAACGGAATTTATGGTTGGAGTATAGGAGGAATCTAACCAAAGAAGGAGCTTGAAGAGGTCTGGGACTGATGAAGGTGATGGAACCCATGCCAGATGCAGGCAGAATGCAAGTCACAGGTGCAGGTGAACCGGGCTGGTGGGCCTCTTGGCACACAAAGGATGCTCCATAAGTGTTTGTCGAAATAAACGGAATTTATGGTTGGGGTATAGGAGGAATCTAACCAAAGAAGGAGCTTGAAGAGGTCTGGGACTGATGAAGGTGATGGAACCCATGCCAGATGCAGGCAGAATCCAAGTCACAGGTGCAGGTGAACCGGGCTGGTGGAGAGCACTGGCTGGTAATACTGCAAGCCCCAAACTGGGAACCTGGGAGGCCAGTGAACTCATCTGCTTCACAGTTACACTGACTGCATGTTTATTTCTGAGTTGCACTGAAGCCAAGGCGAGCCTTGCAGCCTTCTGGGGGTAGGTGGGAGTATCATTCTGTGTACACAGTGGCCCTGCTGCTCTTCAGAGCATGTGTGTTTGGAGCTATAAATCCAGGGATGGAGAGGGGCTCCCACTGTCCAGTTCACTTTTTAACCCAGCCACCTTCATTTCTCTGGATACACATTTGTCTGGGTACACATTGTGTAGACTATGGCAGGAACAGAGTATGTTCCAGTGGTCCAGGCAAGAGGGGAATCTGGGCCACAATGTCATAGGCACCACACTCTAACACTTCCAGGTGAGTTCAAGGGCTACATATAGAATCTCCCAAGGTTAACCCCTTTGTTCCCCCGACTGATGTCTGTTCCCAGCCAACAGATCTGATCTCATCCATGGGCTCATCTTCCCTGCCTGGCTCCGAGGTCTGCTGTGACTCCTGCTGGGCAAACATCAATGGGCGGAGGTGGAATAAAGGGCTGACCTTGGCATCCCACCAGCCTGGCATTAGTCTGGCATTAGGGCCGGGGAAAGCTGTCCTGTGCTAAAGCCAGATGGCACCTGGTGGAGGAAGCTGCTCCTCCATGGGAGCCTTTTCAACCCACCTGTGTGCCAGAGAGGAGGCTGATGGGGACCCTTTGAGGCAGGATGTAGGCACACAAGGTATGGTTGGGGTCAGAGTTCTCCCTACTTCCACCTCTCCCCGATACCTTGCCCTAGCAACAGCTGTGCACTGGGAAGTGGGATCTGTGAGGCTCCTGTCACTGCCTACGTGAACAAAACGGTGATGTATCTCCATACTCCTTGTTTGGGGTCTCTTTGAGAAGAGAGGCGACAGAAGGCGGTAGGTCAGGGTTTCCCAAGGACTAGGGAGGACTTCTGCTTGGATTACCTGGTGTGAACCCAGGGGCCATGGATAGGGAGGTAGATGAACTCTCCACCTCTTCTCAGGAGGGAAAGTTCTTCCAGAGAAAGCTCCATGTAAATACATATCATGTTTGTTGCCCCCACAGTGTGTCCCCCTGGAGAGTCAGGGCTTTATCCTTGGCCGCTACCTCTGCCACTGCCGACCTGGATTCTACGGGGGAAGTGACTCTGGGGGTATGTAAGTGCGGTCAGGGCCCAGCAGGTGTTTTACAGCCTGGATTGCTTGGGAGGGTACATGTGGCAAAGAAAGGTAGGTTGGGGTGAGACGCTGGGAGGAAACTTGTGGGGCAAGGACAGAGGTCGAAGAAGCAGAGAGGTGAGCAGGGTCCAGTTTGGATGTGTTTGCACCTTCTGAGAATGAGACCATAACATGCAGATGCAATGTAAGCTGATATCGCAGTGAGCCCTAGCCTGTTCTCCCCATGGAGGACCCACTCTCTCATATTCCTGGGGCCACAGACCATAGAAGGGCAGGGAGAGGGCTGTGGTGACCATCAGGAGAGAAGGCTAGGATGCCCCACCCATGCCCCTCACCCCGCACCCATCTTGTTCTTCGTAGGGTTAGAGAAGAGTGCCATCCAGACTACCGGGCAGTTCAGGTCCCCACAAGGCAGCTCCAGGAGGCTGCTGCGGTGCCAGCCATGTCCTGAGGGCTGCACTGGCTGCATGGATGCCACACCGTGCCTGGTGGAGGAGGCCCCGGAGCTGCGGGCAGCAGTGCTGGCCTGCCAGGCCTGCTGCATGCTGGCCGTCTTCCTAAGCATGCTGGTCTCCTACCGCTGCCGCCGGAGCAAGGCAAGGAAGGCCCCACATCTCCCTCCAGCACACATGTCCTACCCATTACCTGGAGACCTGAGACCATCTAAGACTAGAACTCAGGAGAAATGGGTTCCAGTCTTGATTCTAAATCTAACTCACTATGAGACATTAGACAAGTGACCTCTCCACCTTAAACCTGTTTCCTCATCTGTAAAATGAAGGCATTGGACTTGATTCAACAAATGCTAGTTGAGTATCTACTCTAAGCAAAACAGTGTCCAGGCACTAGAGGAAGTGATCTGGACCCTCATGGAGCTCCCAGTTTAATGAAGGAGGCAGACATGTAAATAAAATGACAGTACTGAGACAGGGGAAAGGGTGGAAGTGTCAGTTGCTGTGGGAGCTCACAGAAAGGACCCAGTCATCCTGTCTGAGATGGCATCGGAAAGACTTTCCGGACAGTGAGACATTTGAGCTAGGCCTAAAGGTTAACTGGATGTTTACTGGGCAGAGAAGGGGTATCCTATTCTAGACAAGTGAACAGTCTGACCCAAAGTTTGGAGGAATGCATGCGATCCCTTCTAGCTCCAGCAACCTCTGATTTGAGCCCAGGTCTGCAGCAAGGCCCAGGGTGGGACTGGGAAGGGCATAGGGCTGGAGAGTGTGTGTGTTGGGGGGTGGCTAACGTGCAACCTTGGCTTTAGTGAGGCTTTGTGCCAATGGAGCTAAGAGCCTGGGGTGGGAGCGGGGGTGTGGCTGTGACAGAGAGGGCACAGCTAGTGTTACAGTGTGAAGCCTTAGTCCAGGGCGATTGAGTGACCCATAAAATAGGACTGAGACCCTTGCTTGGCACTATAGTCCAGGCACTGACCTCCCCCTGCCCTGCTCACAAGCCTCTCCTTTCTGGGTTCACAGAGGACCTGGGCATCTGGAGTTGTCTTGCTGGAAACCATCCTTTTTGGATCACTGCTGCTCTATTTTCCTGTGAGTCTGTGGCCAGAGGCTGGACCCACCTCCCAGGATCTCCCACAGCCCCAACCTGGCACCCTCCAAACCCCAGAACCCTTCCTCTTCTAGCCCTCTTGGGGAAATTCAGAGGCCTCAAGTTCCCCCTACTTATACCCACAAATGACAGGCGGGTCTAATGAGCTCTGGAGCCAACAGCCTTCAGCTTAAAAGAGCTCTAGGACCCATGCTGTGATTTAGGACAAGTTACCTAGGCTCTCTGGTATGTAAGCTGCTCCTCTGCAGAATGGAGGTGATGGCACCTCTGTTGCAGGGCTGCTGGGAGGGTTAGCTATGTGCTTAGCACAGGCCTAGTACACAGCAGAAGCATGGAGGTGAGCAGCTACTTTTGCCCCCTTCTCACCAGGTCTTCATCCTGTACTTCAAGCCCAGTGTGTTCCGCTGCATTGCTCTTCGCTGGGTCCGGCTGCTGGGTTTTGCCATCGTCTATGGCACCATTATACTCAAGCTTTATAGGTAGGGCCAGGGCAGACCTTGCTCTTGTGCTGCTCACCACAGTTCATTACTCATGTAATGGAGTTTTCCAAGACCAGACCCTTACCAGCTCCACTCCCCTGTGCCCCCAAGGCCTTCCCCCATCATGATAGCCTTTCCCTCTCTGTAACTTTTTTTGAGGGTAAGTAGAAGCAGCAAACCATGGCAAGGGTGGAAGGATGGGTATGTGTGTGAAGGGGAGGGGAGGGAAGAGGTGGACAGAGGCCAGGGCTCTGGGCCCCTCCCCCCCATCCACCATATGCCCTCGAACCCTTGCAGAGTGCTCCAGCTGTTCCTGTCTCGGACAGCCCAGCGAGGCCCCCACCTGAGCAGTGGGCGGCTGCTGCAGCGCTTGGGGCTGCTCCTGCTGCCTGTGCTGGGCTTCCTGGCCGTGTGGACAGTGGGTGCCCTGGAGAGAGGCAACCAGCACACACCTCTGGTGACCCAAGGCCACACTCCCACTGGCCGTCACTTCTACCTCTGTCACCACGACCGCTGGGACTACATCATGGTTGTGGGTGAGCTGCTTCCGCTGAGCCCAGCCTCACCTGGCCCCTGGCTCTGCACCTTCAGGGGTCCTCTTGTCCTGGTTCTCCTGCCTTGTACCCAGACCCCTAGCCCAGGCCCCCCCCAGCACGCCCTACAGAGAAAGGGGCAGCATGGCTGCTGAGGGGGGGCCAGCTCTCTCCCTCCCCGCTTCCCCACAGCTGAGATGCTGCTGCTGTGCTGTGGCAGCTTCCTCTGCTATGCCACCCGGGCTGTCCTCTCAGCCTTCCACGAGCCACGCTACATGGGTATCGCCCTGCACAATGAGCTGCTGCTCTCTGCTGCCTTCCACACGGCCAGGTGAGGATGGGCCCACCTGCCCATAACTCCTCTCACCCTTCCACCACTCCTCACCTCTCCCAGGTGAGGCTGCCCCCATCCCTAGTCATCCCTGTAACACTGCTATGCCTCAGCAAGTGCCTGTAGCTCTCTCCCTACCCCGCAGATACCCCTCCCACACCCATGTCTCACCCAGGTGATGAGGCCCTCACCACACGAGGAGAGGAAATATACCCTGCTCCTAATTTCACCACACGAGGAGAGGAAATATACCCTGCTCCTAATTCCTCACCCGTTCCTAACCACCTCTCCAGCACCCCCAACATACCCCTTCTGACACATGGTCAGTTCTCCCTGCCTTCTCCCCCTCACCTCTTAGCCATATGAACAGCAAGCCTGCAGTGTGTGTGTATGCCATAGGACCTGGCCCTGTGGTGGAGGCAGAATCAATCCACAGGGCGATCTTAGCAGTCTGGAACATGATCCTGTACTATAGGCAGCCAGAGAAGGCGAGCTGGAGTGACCTGGGAGGGCTTCTCGGAGGTGGGGATTAACCTCTCAGAGGTGGGTGAGCCTTGGGGTACAGGACCTACATCCTGGAGAGGGTGAGAAGAAGGAAGAGTACCCCATGGAGATCAGGGCTGGGGCTGGGGAGAAGAGCCAGTGAGGTGACACAGAAGTGGCCACTATCAAGCTCCTCCCGTCCTGCCCTCAGGTTTGTGCTGGTTCCCTCCCTGCACCCGGACTGGACCCTCCTCCTCTTCTTCTTCCACACCCACTGCACAGTCACTACCACACTGGCTCTGATCTTCATCCCTAAGGTGAGGTCTCTCCACTCCCGCATGTAAGGCGGACCCCAGTCCCTTTCTAAGGGACACTGTGGATCTGCAACTGCTGCAGTGCCTTCTGCAGGTCAGGGTAAGAAGGACAGAAGGTGCTGGGGGTGAATGAGCTCTGAGTGACGGGGGACCTAAGCAAGGAGCCAATGTGAGTCAGGGGTTGGGGGAGGAAGCTACTATCTCTCTGCTTCCAGTTCCTGGGCAAGGGAAATAAGAGGAGCCAGGTCCAGGGTTTGATCCCTGTTACTGGCCAGCCACCACCACCACCACCAAAATAGAAGAGCTAGGGCTGGAGGGAGTTCTTTTTAACACAGTTGGAAGGTTGGTGGACTCTGAAAATCTACTCAGAAGCAGTTAAAGAGAGAGATGGAGGAGCTAAAACACATGCTAGGAATTGCAGAGGCAGGGGGTTGGGACCACCTGGCCCCTGAGCTAGAGAAGATCAGGGAGGATGAGTGGGAGTAAAATTCTACGGACCCCTGGAATTCCAAATCAGAGAAGGAGGGTGAAGATTCACAGGTAGGGATGTATTCCATGGGGCAAATGAGTGCAGGAATGGACAGGGAGCCAAGGTGAGTCTTTTCCCCACTCATACACACCCCGGCCAGTTCTGGAAGCTGGGGGCTCCTGCCCGGGAGGAGATCGTGGACGAGGTGTTCGAGGATGAGCTGGACCTGCAGCGCTCAGGCTCCTACCTCGGCAGCAGCATCGCCTCAGCCTGGAGCGAGCGCAGCCTGGACCCTGGAGACATTCGCGTACGTGCTGCTCCCCTGCCTCCTTTTGATGTTAGCTTTTAGGGACTGGGCGGAGGGAGCACTGCTGCCCTGCCACCCGGGCTGTGTGCCATTGCAGGTCCCCTGCCCTCCCCCTAGCTTTCTCCTATGCTGGCTCTGGGGAGAAATCCAGAGTATAAGACTTTCAAAGCCCCATTCCATCGCTGACACCTGAATGCAGCACTTTTCACACCCACTAGTCCCATCCATCTCATATAGTCCTCTTAAGAAAGCTAATACTGGCCAGCCAGGTATGGTCACTTTCTAGAAGTTGCAGAGGCTGAGAGATATCAAGAAAATAGCCTCAAGGCACACAGTGGATCTCAAACACCCACCTCAAATCCAAGTTTCCTGTCACCCGAGCCGGTGATTTCCCACCAAGACCACAATGCCCCGAAAAGGGAGTGCACTCAGTCCTCAGAGCTACATACCTCAAGGCACACAGTGGATCTCAAACACCCACCTCAAATCCAAGTTTCCTGTCACCCGAGCTGGTGATTTCCCACCAAGACCACAATGCCCCGAAAAGGGAGTGCACTCAGTCCTCAGAGCTACATAGATCTGGCTCAGAGCCAGTTTGGCCCTGGGCTTGCAGAAAAGAGAGGTGAATTGTGAGCATTTTAGAAGCAGAGAAGGGACGTGGCTCGATGGAAAAACAGATCCCGTAGTGAAAAAGGTCTAATAAGGGCTGAGGGGCAGATCGGTGCAGCCAGGGAATGGGGAGAGCTTAGCCCGTCCATCTCAACGGCAGCTCTGCTCTCGTCCCCGCGCCCCGCAGGACGAGCTGAAGAAGCTCTATGCCCAGCTAGAGGTCCACAAGACCAAGGAAATGGCTGCTAACAACCCCCACCTGCCCAAGAAGCGAGGAAGCTCACGCCAGGGGCTGGGCCGCTCCTTCATGAGGTACCTGACTGAATTCCCCGAGGCCCTGGCCCGGCAGCACTCTCGGGACTCGGGCTCCCCGGGCCGCAGCAGCCTGCCCGGCTCCTCCCGCCGCCGGCTGCTCAGCGCCAGCCTCCAGGAACCTGAGGGGCCACCAGCCCTGCGCAAGTCCCGCAGCACCTATGACCACCACAGGGAGCAGGAGCCGCCTCTCCTCGACTCACTGCTGAGGAGGAAGCTGGCCAAGAAGGCCTCGCGAACGGAGAGCCGGGAGTCGGTGGAGGGGCCCCCTGCGCTGGGCTTCAGGTCAGCCAGCGCCCACAACCTGACAGTGGGAGAGAGGCTCCCCAGGGCCCGGCCCGCCTCCCTGCAAAAGTCGCTCAGCGTGGCTGGCTCCAGGGAGAAGGCCCTGCTCATGGCCAGCCAGGCCTACCTGGAGGAGACCTATCGGCAGGCAAAGGAGCGAGAGGAACGAAAGAAGGCTGAGACAGCCATGGCAAGCCCGGTGCGGAGGCCATCAGCCAGGAGGCTAGAGCGGGCTCGAGGAGTCCCTCTGTCAGCCCCACCTTCTCCTGCCAAGAGCAGCAGCGTAGACAGCTCTCATGCCTCTGGGAAGCTTCATGAGGAGGCTGTGAGAAGGCTGCCTCACCCACCCATCCGGCACCAGGTCTCCACCCCCATCATGGCCCTGTCTGGGGCCTGCCCAGGCGAGCCAAAGATGCTGTCTCCCACCTCCACCTTGGCTCCAGCTCTGATGCCAACTCTAGCACCAACCCCAGTTTCTGCCCTGACACCAGTCCCAGTAACCCCCCAAAGCCCCAGCATCCTCACCTACATCTGCCCCTGGGAGAATGCAGAACTGCCAGTCAAGAAAGAAAATGTGGCCCAGGAAGGCCCCTCAGGGACAGAGCGAGACAACCACTCCCCAGCCCCAGCTCGAGCCAGGATCTGGAGGGCCCTCTCTGTTGCAGTAGAGAAGAGGGGCACTAGGGAGAACGAGATGGACATAGAGGATGGGCGTTCCCAGGGGGACGCTGATGATGTAGATGAGGACAGGCCCAAGATCTTCTCTAAATCTCACAGCCTCAAGACTCCTGTTCAGCAGGGTTCCATGCGCAGCCTGGGACTGGCTCTCAAAGCTCTGACCCGTTCTCGGAGCACATACAGAGAGAAGGAGAGTGGAGAGGAGAGTCCTGAGAGGGAGAAGGGTACAGCTCCCGGAGAGAGTGTGGGGGCATCCCCCAGGTCTCCCCGGCCAGGTCGGCCCAGAGTGGTGAGTAAGCAGGCTGCCCTTGCCCCCTGTGATGATGAGGAATCCCTCCAGAACCAGCAGAATGCTCACACCAGCAGAATGCTCCGAGTTTGTCACCAGGAGGGCAGCAAGGAACAGGAAGACAGAGGCAGGAGGACATTCCAGGGTCTAGGGGAGCAGAAAGTTGAAAGAACAGGTAAAACAGGGCCTACCACACTGAGGCAAGTTTTGGGAGACAAAAGAACTGAGCAAGCAAAAGAAGCCCCTGTGGGGTGGCGGGGACAGCCCAGGGCTGGCCTTCAGCTCCTGGGCAGTACTGACCACAGGGTGGCAGAAGTATGCCCCTGGGAATTCACCAAGTCAGAAATGTGTCAGCTGGACAGTAGCAACAAGGCTGAAATCTGCCCGTGGGAGGTGAGTGAAGGAACTCCTGAGAGGAGGGCATTAACACAAGATCCAGATGACTCCCAAGAAGAAAGGAGGAAAGCCCCAGAAAAACCAGAACCCAAAGATATGGTTGCCATTACTCGGAAAAAGCCAGAGAGACTGGTCAGGGGGGAGGAAGCGGTGTGTCCCTGGGAGAGTGCTGATCCTGAAGGTCTGTCCCTTCGGTCAGCCCCTCAGGACTCTGATAGAACGAAGGGCAGGTCTGAGGCAGTGGGCAGCGTGGAGGATAGGAAGGTGGAGAAGCATCAGTGGAAATCCACTGGCCCAGAACCTTGTACACCTGACATCGCCAAGGCAGAGCTGTGTCCCTGGGAGGTGAGTGAAGGAGGAGAGGATGGGAAACTGGCCCGGAAGGTAGTAAAGGAGCTCCCCCAGGAAAAGCAGAAGACCCCCAGGAAAACAACTTTTTGGAAAGAAGAGAAACTGGGTGGGGACTTGGAGTCTCTTTGTCCATGGGAGAGTACAGATTTTCGGGGTCCCTCAGCAGTCTCGATTCAGGCCTCAGAAAGCCCAGAGTGCTCAGGGAGTTTGGGCAGTGGCATGACAGCAGCAGATGTTCCTGCTCTCAGGAAGGCAGAGATCTGTCCCTGGGAGATGGATAATGAGGTCAAGGGGAATGAAATGCTGAGTCAGGTGACAGGTGGAGAATCTCTCCAGGAAAAGGAAAGAGCCTGTAGAAAAGAGAGCTTTGGAGAGATGGAACAAACCGTGAAAGCAGTGCAGAAATTAAGTCACCAGCAGGAGTCAATGTGTCCCTGGGAGAGCGCTGCCCCTGGGTACTCCAGCCCATGCCTAGGCAATTCTTCCTCCAAAGCTGGTGGCCAACTCCTAAGCAGTGGAGGAAACAGAGCAACACAGGTGTGTCCAAGGGAAGAGCTCAAGCCAGAGGTAAAGAAAGCAACACCTGCCAAAGCAGAAATCTGTCCTTGGGAGGTAAATGAAAGAACAGACGACTGGACATCAGGACAGGCACAAAAAGGAGGAGAATCTCAAAAGGACAAGGAGGAAATGCCTGGAAAATCAGGAATCAAAAATGTCACAGCTTGGGAAAGGCCTGAGAGACAGATCCAAAAGCAAGAAGCAGTCTGTCCCTGGGAGACTGTGGACCCTGGCAGCTTCCGCCCACAACCAGGTCCTCAACAGATCTCGATGGAGAGACCCAAAGTCATTTCCCAGATGTCAGGCAGTGTGGGAAGCAAAGCTACCGAGATCTGCCCATGGGATGTGGAGGAAGCCCAGACAGCTGAGGAGGCAAAGATCCATCCCAGGGAGGTGGATGCTGGAGCAGGGGAGGAAAGGACTTCGGGAGTTGAGGCCATTAGGAAATCTCCAAAGGATACAGGAAAGACTTCTGCAGATTCTGGATCCAGAGAAATAGCTGTTACTGCTCCAAAGAAGCCAGAGAGGCCAGCCCTGGAGCAGGAGGTGGCTTGTCCCTGGGAGAGCTTGCAGTCAGGAGCCTCCTCTCAGCATTCAGACACTCTGGTCGCTGACAGACCAAAAGCTGGATTCCAGGACCTGGACCATGTGAGGTGCAGGCCAGCTGAAGTGTGTCCCTGGGAAGGGGAGGAAGCTCCTACCAGTGAAAAAGCCAAGATTTGTCCCTGGGAGATGAGTGAAGGAGCTACTGGGAAGGGACTGGAACAAGAGATGAGGAGTGAATCAGCAGAGCAGAGGGAAAAAACTCTAGAAAAGGGGAGACTCACCTCCCTGGGAGAAGACATACAACAGGAGGCAAAAAGACAAAAGCAGGAAGCTGTTTGCCCTTGGGAGAACAAGGACTTAAGGGAACTCCTTACTCAGGTCCCCGAGGTTTCAGACTTGCCCAGCAGCATCAGTGGCAAAGTGGCAGAGGGGCATTCCCTGGAAGCGAGTGATGAGGCAACAGAAAAGGGGGACCTAAGACCAGACCCAAGGACAGGCTCCCTCCCAGAAAGAGCTCCAGCTTCGAGAGCAGAATTCACTACCGAAGATGGGGAGAAAACAAGCAATGAGCTACAATCTGTCTGTCCAAGAGAGAGCATGGCCCAAGCAGGCTCTTTCTCCCACCCAGACAGTCAGCGCTCTGAGCAACCTAAAGCCAGCTCCCAGACACTAGTCAGTGTCAGGGTCGCTGAGGTGTGCCCTTGGGATGCTCCTGACCTGGATGCATATAAACCTGACAGCGGCACCAAGGCTGAGATCTGTCCTTGGGAAGTGACTGAAAGAATCCCTGAGAAAGGGGTGTCAAGACAGGATGGAAAAAGGGAATCTCAGGAGAAGAAAGGAAGAGCCCCAGAAAACCCAGAGCCCAAAGGTGGGGCAGTCCAGAAACAATCAGAGAGGGAAGACTTCAGGAAGCGGGAGGCTGTGTGCCCCTGGGAGAGTCAAGATTGTGGGGGTCTGTCTCCACAACAAGCCCCATCCATTTCTGGCAGAAGCAATGGCAGTTCTGAGGCAACAGACGGTGTGGGGGCCAGGGTGGCAGAAGTGTGTCTGTGGGAAGTGGAAGAGGCTCCCTCTGCCAAGAAAACAGAGATCTGCCCTTGGGAGGTGAGTAAAGGAGCAGCAGAGAAAGGGGGACTGGAACAGGAGGTAGAAGGAGAATCACAAGGGCAAGGAGAGATGTTTCTTCAGAAGGCAGGATCTGGAGGGACTGAACACTTTTCAAAAGAAGCAGCAAAACTCAGCAGAGAGCAGGAGCCAGTCTGTCCCGAGGAAGACATGGGTTCAGCAGGGCTCTTCCCCCAGTCAGACACTCTGGACACTGACCAACCCAAAGTCAGCCCTCATGGAGCAAGTAGTATGGGGAGCAGGATAGCAGAGCTGTGTCAATGGGAAGTCACAGACCCAGAAGGAAATAAAATTAAGGGTACCATGGCAGACATCTGTCCTTGGGAGGAAACTGGAGCCCCACCTGAGAAATCTGGCCTCCTGGCTTTAACAGCAACTCGAACAGAAATTTTCCCCACAGCCCCTGAGAAACCACTATGCCTTTTAGTCCATGGACCTCTGCATAGTGTCCTTCCAGAAAGCAGAAGCTCCCGCCCCGAGGTGAATAAGCCAACCAGTACTTTTATTCTGGAAGGTGTCAGAGAACTACAAGGACTTTCAGGGCCTGGGCCAAGGACCAACTTAGCCCCAGAGCCAAGTCTCCAAGAAGCTGAGACTCAAAAGTCTTCCCCCTTAACTGAAGACCAAGGACAAGTGGTTTCTGAAGATCAAAATGAAGAACTCACCCTTCCAACTGTCTATCCTTGGGACTGGGAGTAACAGCTCTATCAGGTGAGGTCAAACATAGGGCTAGCTTTCAGGAGCCAAGATCCTTTCCAAGTCCTGGTGTTCTCTAAGAGCTGAATCAAAGGCACTTGGCCACTTCCCCTCCCCAGGAAGGCCAGAAGTCAACTCATTACAAAGACTAATTGTACAGAAAGGGTGCAGCTTCAACCCCAATGGAAAGTTCCACCCTGTCTTTACTTCTAACTTTTCTTCCTGCTCAAGGAAAACAAAGCCTGGACCTTCTGATCCCAAAGAATCTTCCCATCCATCTAGAGTATTCAACACAAGCTATCTGAGTCTGAACACTCACTTGTAAAGCCAACATTAGGGATGAAAGGAAGTCAGCAGTACCCAGCCTGCATTTTCACCTAGACCCAATTTTTCTGTGAAGTCTACAAAGGGCTGTTTTTTGAGAAGAAACTAAACCACACAAAGCATTGGCAACACTGGGACTGTGGACCATAGAAAGGCATAAAAGGTCACCACAGGAAACTTAAGAAGCCACTTAATTCAAGTTGAAGGATAAATTAGGGGAAAACTAAAATGACTCAAAATAGGTGCCTGAAATGTCTATAAGGACCTTGTCATTTTGACTTTCTCCTTCAGTGTTTCTCACACCTGCTCGTCAAGTTGAAGGATAAATTAGGGGAAAACTAAAATGACTCAAAATAGGTGCCTGAAATGTCTTTAAGGACCTTGTCATTTTGACTTTCTCCTTCAGTGTTTCTCACACCTGCTCAGCTTGACTGTTGAAGTAGAGATCATATTGATACCTGGCATCCAAAGCCACACCAGAGACAGAGAACATCCAAGGAAAAGCAATTTCTCCAGGTCCTCCCCACACTGGTCAAGGTGGAGTTCTCCCTTCCAGACATCTTCTGTATGCCTCTTGCTAGCTTTTTAGGTGATCTCCCCTCTTCCTGCCCTAACTCTTGCATCCCCAGAGCTCATCTCACTGGTCATTCTCCTCCTGGCCTTTCAGTGCTGTCATCAGTGGGACCCCTTTCTTATGTCAATGCAACTGGAGCCAAGGGGAATCTTTGGTTCTGATGCGAGAATCACTCCAAATTACTTGCTCAGTAACAAGAGGCCACATCAGTCTCCTTCCTAGAGAAGCCCAAGAAAGAAAAGAGGTACTGTTTACGCTAATTGCCTCTGCCCTCAGAAATAGTGCTATGGGGCAGGTTACAAGCCTGTGGGCTGGGAAATGGGCACCGTGAAATACAAAGCCTTCTTTCTTAGGAAGCTCTCTCTTAGCTAGGTTCTTTTCTCATCAGTCAGTTCAGGCTACCCTTGCCTAAGCAGTACTAGATAACAGAGTGCAGGAATTAAGTGATACTATCAGAGGGAAATGAGGAAGGAGAAAAACGCATTGTATAGATATTCATGGGAAGAAAAAAAACAAAACAAGGAAACCAAATACTCAACGGGAAGAAAATGAATCTGCATGTAAATACTCTTGGCAGTTACCGGACTTCACAGAAAAAGTAGCAAAGTGCTCCATTTCCAAAAGGGAACAGAGGAATGAAGTAACCTACTCTCCTTCAGGGACCAGATGCCCTCGTTCCCATACCTAGGCCCTCCCACTCACCTGGGTCCTTTGTCCTGGGCTTTTAGAGCAGTAACTGAAGCATGATGTTGCTCTGGGCTCTGGCTAGTTAACCCCACAGCTTCTAAGCCACTATGGATTTTGCTAACGGTGCACCCCAAAATGACCTCACTGCAAAGTTGCTCTCATACCCACTCTCATGAAATAAACTGGCGGGGCGGGGGGAATAAAGAATGCTTTTTCTAGATAATCAGTTGGCTCTAGCTTATTCATAATGATTTTCTTTTTCAACATTTTTAAACAGTAGGATAGATAAGGAAAGAACAAATCTGCTCTAAAGTCCAAGATAACAACACTGCAGCCTTCAGGACCCTCGGGGGGTCTGGCTAATTCTCTGCCAGTGCCCAGGTCTGTGCCTGACACTGCAGATGGTCTCTGCATGGTCCTTCTAGCCAACCCTTCACATCTGCGGCCATTTACTCAGATGGATTGAATCCCAGGGGGAAATGAAAATTGCACTTATCCTCTGGCTCCCTGGTGGCAGCTATTGCTTAGCTGCTATTTCAGATTATCTAGATACCCCCGAGACAGATTCAGGGGAGTGGATGAAATAGCTTATTTGAAGCACTGTTTTTGCATATACAGAGAAAGCAATGCATCATTTGCCTACTAAGTGTGCTTTTTTTTTTTTTTTTTTTTTGAGACCGGCCCACTGCGCTCAGCCAGTGAGTGCAGCGGCCATCCCTATATAGGATCCGACCCCGCGGCGGGAGCGCTGCTGCGCTCCCAGCGCCGCACTCTCCCCAGTGCGCCACAGGCTCAGCCCCCCAAGTGTGCTTTTTTTTTTTTTTTGAGACCGGCCCACTGCGCTCAGCCAGTGAGTGCAGCGGCCATCCCTATATAGGATCCGACCCCGCGGCGGGAGCGCTGCTGCGCTCCCAGCGCCGCACTCTCCCCAGTGCGCCACAGGCTCAGCCCCCCAAGTGTGCTTTTTTTTTTTTTTTGAGACCGGCCCACTGCGCTCAGCCAGTGAGTGCAGCGGCCATCCCTATATAGGATCCGACCCCGCGGCGGGAGCGCTGCTGCGCTCCCAGCGCCGCACTCTCCCGAGTGCGCCACAGGCTCAGCCCCCTAAGTGTGCTTTTTTGGTTTCTTTGCTTTCCTACCCTGCCAGGACTACCTCCCCTTCCTCCATGCTCCCCGGCTGTGGATCCTGCTCAAAGCACTTTTCTTCTCATTTTGCCTTAATCCGGGGCTCAGGCAAATACAATGTGACCAAACTTCTCTTGGGCAGTAATGCTGCAAACTGATGTACAGTTTAATCCAAAAGGGTTGAGACTGCATGAGAGTGGCTGCTTTGGATTAACCCACCAGTGCTGTCTCTGTCCTAAGCATATACACCTCTGTTTCCACAGTCAGCACTCAACAGTTGCTGTAAAAACACCAGTTTTCCCCAGTGAGACCTGATCTGTTTGCTGCTTTGCTGAGATGGTAGCTTTAGAGAAACTGAAGTGTTCTTATTTATTCTTGACCTGATTCCAGTTTCTTTGGACTCTACTCTCAGGACAAGGTCAGGACAGATTAATCCTTACTTTAAGTGACAGATTCCTTAAAAGAAAGTTCAGGGTTGAAAAAGAGAAAGTATGAGAATAAAGGTCCTGTTTTTTAAGAGGATCCTACATTGGACTGATGAAAGCAACGGTACCATAAACTAAGCTTGTTGCTGGTACACAGTGATTTCCCTTGTCACACCCAGATGACCAAGGACACATGAGCATGTGAAATCCCACATCCTTCTCCTGACAGCCCAGCTGGACTAAGGAACAAGGAGAGGCTAGGTGGTTTTACTCTACACAGGTTCATACTCTGGTACATTCATTCACCTTCTCAATACTGGGCTGAAAAGAACCATCACCATCCCTAGAAGATGCTAGAAATCAGGGAACCAGGGCTAGCTCGGTAGCTCAGTTGGTTAGAGTGTAGTGCTGTTAACACCAAGGTCCAAGGCTGAATCCCTGTACCAGCCAGCCACCAAAAAAAGAAAAAAGAAACCAGGGAATCAAGTCTTGCACATGAATTTCCCAAATGTATCAACCCCTCCACAGCCCCTGCCTCTTCCCACTTTTCCTGGGGTCACACCAGGATGCAGCTTATTAATGATTATTAAGAACACAATCCAGAGGCTGAGAGATAAATTATTTCTTTGGATTTATGTTCTTCTATAAAATACAAATGCCGATTCATCAGTGAGTCAGTGCATGAGAAAAGACCCCTTAAATGATACCATATTTTATAAACACTAATTATTCTTCCCAAGTCTGGATTTTCTGGGAGTCACATTACTCATGGCTAGGCTCGTCTTGCACTTCTGCCATTTGAAGGCTGGTCTTCCCCTAGCCTGAACCAGGGAAAATGTATAGAACCCACCAAAATTTGTCCAGCACCCCGATAGTGTTTTTGATCGCTGCCCTGTGATGAGAAAGGGAATACTGCCAGTTTGCTCCCACAGCCCCTGCTGTGGGAAAAACTGGCATCGGATGTTCTCTGAAACATACTGCCTTTCATCTAGACTCAGAATCTAGACATACAATTTAAAGAAGAAGAGGGTTCACGGCTGTGCATACACCACCCAGCCATAATCCATGGCTATTGAGGATGAGGCTGCTGAAAAGGCCTAAGCAGAGTGAACAAAGGTAGTCCTTTCTACAGCATGATGGAGATGGATGACTTCACAGCTTCCAGCAGTCTCATCAGCCATGCTGCACCCCACAGGTCAATTTTTGCCATCAGGCTGGCTGAGGCTTATGGGCCTCTCCTTGTGCTTCTTCATAGTCTTCCCATGGTTTCAGCTGGGGGCCAGGGATCATCACCGTCTGAAATAGCAGAAAGCTGAGTTACCTATCAACCAAGCCCATGGCTTACCCAGAAGAGTTTCATTCTTCTCCTCCACCCTCCCATCAGGAAGTCTCCTTCCCTGGTGTTGCATCATCCCCTCTCTCCACTAGGAGGAGCCCAACAGAGCTGGCTTATGATGTCACAACTACTGCCCCAGCTCTCTTAAACCATGCACTGTCTTACCTTAAGGATGGGCTGCTTAGGGGGTGCCCATGGGGGGACGATCTTGCCATGCATTCTCCAGCTCCCATAGGGGTTCGTCAGGTGCTTTTCAAACACAACATACTCCAGAACATCCTTGGGCACATCTTCCTGTCCATACATCAACCGGCCAAACCGGTCATAGATGGCCAGAGTCTGCAAGGATGAAAGCAAATCTGGCTTGTTTCTCTATGTGTGTGTTTTGTTTTGTTTTGCCACCTAACCACTTTGAAACAACAATAACAAAAAACTATAATGGGTAGAAAAATAATTATCTCAGAATTCTGAATCTAGGACTAACTGATCAACTGCTGACACTTTACACTTAGAGGTTCTTAGATGGGGGTGATGGGTCAAGACCAGGAAGAGTAGGAGACAATAATCTCATACTGTGTCTTAGTAGAGCTAACAGTTGCAGTGACACAGCAAGGAAGACCATGGCGAACTTTTCCTTAGAACTCACAGTCCAAGGCAGCTATACCCAGTATTGCAGAGGTAGGTGGCCAACATGAGAGTGAATAAAAGCTCAGAGGAAAGCAGACTGGTGCCTCTACCTGCCGGGTGTGCATGCGTACGGTGACCTGGCCATACATGTTGCTCACGTTCACCAGACTTGAACAGCGAACCTGAACCACCTGGGGTGGCTCTAAAGATTCCATGAAGGTCCAGCGGACGGTCTTATACTTGAGGTCCCAGACCATGTCCTAAGGGAAGAGGAGAACAAGTTCAACTGGGCTTTTCCTCCCTGTAGGGAAGCTGGTGCTGCCACACCTGCTCTCACTTCAGCAATACTACAGACAACAGGTGCCATTCCCCACCAAATTCTCTCTCATGCCTATTTTCTCCCTCACTTTCCCAAGCTTTGATTAAGTTATTGCTTGAGCTCATCTCACA